CTCTTTTTTTGAAAAAAGAAAACACAATTCGTAAAGAATATCCACGCTCAAACATTGCCTCGAAAAATGATCGCTGCGTTTACTCGGATCGAGTTCATTCTCTGGATCCCGTACGAACTCCCCCTCCCCATCTGTATCCTCTTCCGACTCTCTTGCTCTTATCCGGTATAAAAAAGATTTCGCTTACTGTCGAACAGACGTACGGTTGAGTCTCATGTCGTTCCTACCGCGAGCGTGTCGCGCGACGACGTCCCTGAGCGCGGCTCTTGAACTTACGGTTCTCTCGTTCGTCGCGCATCCTTCGTGTGCCTCCGCGCAAAAGATATTGTTACAATCGCCGGGGAGTCCTCGAAGAGAATCGCGTTGCCCGACGAAGACCAATGGCGGGGACAGGGCGGCGGAAGGGACTTTATCGTCGACCGGTATATTGAGTAGCGTGCGACCGTTGGAAGAAAGTGAGTCTCTCTGCTGCGAGCAGCGAAATTCCAAGACGACCGTGACGCACGACGTCTCCCGCGATTCCGTTTTCGACAGCCGGCACCCGGGAACTTTTTGTTCGAGCCGTTCCACTCGTGCGCGATGTCGTAGACGTTCCCGCGACAAAGTAAAGAAATCCGGCCGAAGGCGCGGTTTCAAATTCTCAGAGATTTCATTTGAGTGACCTCAATGAGCTGGCTTCGATTTAACGGTGTTCATTGACTCTCTTTGTTTCGCGATTGGTTCTCCCTTGCTCTTATAGAAAAAAAAAATCAGACTCGAAAGTAAAAATGAAAGATTTGACTTGTATTTCTTCTATCGTATTTTATATAAAAATCAGAAAAAACTAATCGGGAGTTTAACGATCTGCTTCTCGCATATTCAGCGTTTTCGTTATCTTCGAAGAAGAACGACTGCGAATTAAAAACGTATACACACCCCCTTGACAATCGCTTTTTTCGGGCGACGCGCGTAAAAATCTGTGACGGACGGCAACGAAATTTGCATAAAGCGAAACGCGCGATCGAGAAACCGCGCCGCGTAAGCGATGCAGCGGCGACGCGGAAAATGGCCGAGAAATTCGGTTTTTGTTCTCATCGATGGACGATGTAAATGCGAAATAAACCCGCGCTGCTACGGGCATACGTCTGGGAAATATGTAATTTAAACTCGAAATGATTTGTCGCAAGTGAGTTATTCCACGGTACATCGAAATCCGGGCAGCACGTCGCATATCAGGCGACGCATTAACTTGTCGTACTATTACGAGAACCGACCGGCCATACCGTATATATACGAGCAGTAAAATCGTCTCAACGGCATTGCAAAACGCGAGGGTGTATTCGTGCTTTTGGCCAATCGCCGAGTGTCCACGCGCGGTCAAATACTTTCGGCCGGTAATTTTATCTTTATTGTAAATGTAAACGATCGTCACGTGTCTGATTTCGTTTGCCAGTACCCAACAAGCTCAAAACAATTTTTCAAAACGCGCAGAAATACCACGCAAATTAGCCAAAAGATAATAAATATCCATTATATATGTCACCTACGGTTTTTTTCTTCGATCATTTGCAATTTCGCTATTGTAAATTGCCACTATTTTTCTACTTGGTAACTCTATTATATATAAAACGTTGACATAATTAAAAAAAAAATTTCTATTTAAAATAAATATTTTTTGACAAATTTAACAGTTCTGTTCTGTGAAATATTCTATATATATATAATTCTATTTAAAATTGTTAGAATGAGACAAGATATAATTTTGCGATACAGACTATTTTAAAGAACTTATCGAATAACAGACTAAAACCAATAGACTGTTCGGAATATGTCACTGGAAGTTCACGTTACTTCATTAAGTGCTCTACAACGAACTGTCAGTCGAATTTATCTGCTCATTTTCGATCAAGAATAACCATTTCGATTGTAATTCTAATTATCTAGCAAACTTAATGCATACCTTTTCTCGGAATTATAATCAAATAAAAAGTCATTTTATTAAATCGTTTTCATATCTGTTATACCTCTTTGGAGCTTACTGTTACATTATAAATACAAAATTTTCAGACTTTCATAAAAATATATACGCTGTCTTTTTATTCTAACGGTACTTTTTCAAAATATATAGGCTATCCATATATATAGGCTATCTATATTGATAAAAAAATTTATAAATATCAAAAAGCTTAATTTATTGCTAGATTCATCGCTTTATTGTATAAATTACTTTTGTCTTAGAAAATTAAGAGGTAAATCGGAATTGCGAGGATTGTACGCTGTACCTTTATCGATGCTACAAGTAAAACAAAGATAATTATAGTCCCTACGCTAAATTTTCAGCTTCAACATTCTCAATTTTGCTCCGAGGTGTATTTTTACAAAAACACTTTATTTCTATTCAGGATGTCTTTGTTCTATTTTAGAACTCAAGTCCTCGCTCGTCATTGGCGATGCGAGTGTGCGCAACCAGCGCATTATGTGATCGCATAACATAGCGTTTGTCCGGACCCGCTGGCTCTGCCAGCAATGTATCCAAGTGTGGATAACGCATTATATTTCTAACCGTCGAAGACGTAAGACGCGGGGATTGCTAATCTTGCCCATCGCGACACGTATGCACGCGTGTATACGCGGATGCACCACACGTCGCGCACGCCGGCCGGTGTTGACAAACTAATCCCCGCGCTATACCGGGTGATCGTAAAGTACACGCTGACAAGCCGACAGTCGTGTAGTATTTTCGTGGTTTAGTCGCGCTTGATAAATCTCGCGCGTTAGCCCCCACGAGCGCGCGACTGACGTAACCGCATCACATCGGCCCCGAAAATTACAATGTTTATGAAATTTCTGCGGACTTCATGGCGCAATCAATACCTCGCACGAATCGTTTCTCCTCGCTGTTTTGACGAAATGTATCTGGCTTTTAAAAATGATATCCAAATAATATTTTGTATGAAAATCGTACCAACATGAAGATACATTGAAGTCATGTCTCATTGGCGATCATTTTGCTAGGAATAATGATTTTTTTTATAATTTTACGTCTTCTAATATCGTGTTGATCACAAATATTATAGATTTTTCTCTGTTAATAATTATAAGCAACATCCCCCTCTTTGTGTCATAACGATTTTCGATTATTACTTATCTTCTTGCATCTCGTTCGAGAATATCTACGAGACAAGTGGTATCCGTTGCAGAATACGAAATCAGACATTGTCACGTTAATAACAACTGGCTGAAATTCCCTAAACTAAACAGTCGCGTTAGCCGTGGAAACCAATCCCAAACTGCTGATGGTATTGCGAATTAGCATGGAATACTTAATCATACGAAATCGATCGTCACGCTGCAACTTTGTTGTGCTAATCGAGCAACAAGTATCCAGTCAGTATTCTAATGACAATGCGTTCAACGCGTTAGGTGAACTATAAATACATTCAGCACTATATTCAATTAAATATTTCTTAACTTTCTGTATGCTGCGATAACATAATAATCTATTAACTGTTAAAAAGATATAAAAAATCGAATTTCGAGAAATTAATCTCTCTCTCTCTCTC